GGCCACTGCACTCCAGCCTGGGTGACAGAGCGAGACTCCGTCTCAAAAAAAAAAAAAAAAAAAAAAATTATTTTTAGTTACAACAGATGACAGAAAAAAAAAACCTGCAAAGGACTTAACATTGTTACAACCAGACAGTGTTGTATCTGACCAGACAGTATGGAGTCTGGCTTGATGTCCAGGAAGAGGAATCACTAGCATATTTATAAACTGTCTTAGATGTGTTTGCGTTTTAGTTTGTTCAAAATTAAAATGTAAATTTAGAAATGTCTAGACATCATGGATTTGAAGGAAGAAATTTATGAAGTTGGTTCAATGCAGATAGTTTTGTAGCTTTTTGTATAAAATGCTTATTTCATATACATGGGAAAAAAAATTGACTCAAGACCCTCTTTTTCTCTCCCTCTCTCTCTTTTAAAAATCTGGTGTATTTAGCTCCTTGGTGAGTTGGAAAAAGACCCCAAACTTGTCTACCATATTGGCCTCACCCCAGCCAAACTTCCTGACCTTGTGGAAAACAACCCTTTAGTCGCTATAGAAATGTTGCTGAAATTAATGCAGTCAAGCCAGATCACTGAGTATTTCTCTGTCCTGGTCAATATGGACATGTCTTTACATTCAATGGAAGTTGTAAATCGGTAAGTTTCTAGATTTGATCAAATGTGTGGGGATAGATACAGATTAGATGGCCAGGAAGGAAAAATTGTAACAGATTTTTGTGTTGATATTATTGGCATAAGATTAACTATTAAAGAAATAATCTAAGCCTTAGCATTCACTACATGTGAATTTAGCATGCGTTAATAAGAACTGAGGGTAGGATTTCAAACATATTTAGTGTTAGTAGAAGCATAAATGAAAACTGCTGAAATTTATTTTATTTATTTTTTTGAGAGGGAGTCTCACTCTGTCGCCCAAGCTAGAGTACAGTGGTGCAATCTCGGCTCACCGCAACCTCCACCCCCTGGGTTCAAGCAATTCTCCTGCCTTAGCCTCCCTAGTAGCTGGGATTACAGGTGTGTGTGCTACCACACCCGGCTAATTTTTGTACTTTTAGTAGAGACGGGGTTTTGCCATGTTGGTCAGGCTGCTTTCGAACTCCTGACCTCAAGTGATCTGCCCACCTCAGCCTCCCAAAGTGCAAGGATTACAGGCGTGAGCCACTGTGCCAGCCAATTACTGAAATTCATTTCCCTGTACATAGTCCTATCTTCTTTATCCCTGTACAAATACAGATATTTTTTTCTTAGTGACTAACAGCTGTAAGTGTGGAAAAATATGGACCGTAAGAGCTGAGAATCCTAGGAATGCCGTCCTAGCTTCCTCGTGCTCTTCTCCCAGCCTTTCTGACTCCCCCGTCTCCTGACCCTGCCATCCTTGACTGTCAGGAAAACAGAACGTCTTCCCTTCTTGATGTGTGCTGTACAGTGTTTGCATTTTATAGTATTTTCCTTACAAATATCTTTTAGGTAAATTGTGAATTAGATGGGCTGGAGGGCTTCAGTTGTTTATGTGCAGGATGGCCAGAGGTTCAGGTGTGCCTGAGTCCTGGTGGAGGCTTTGCATCCTGAGCTCCCTTTCACGTGGTTTCATCCTGCTTTGGATGATAAATTATATGGTCCTCCTATATGGGGAAATCCGTTCTGAGTGCCAAGCGACTAAACTTCAGTGACAGCATAGTTTTTTAACACCTGTTTGTAAGTTGGGGCTTTTTGAAAAATCTATGTGAAATTGAACTACAGAATGTGCCCTTTTTTCATCAACTACTGGGGAAAAAAAGCCCAGCTGGAAGCCAAGGGAGTGGAAGTATGTGCATAGAAGGAGTGCATTCTTTTAGGGGCAGGAGAGGGAGGAAGCGTGGGGTTTCCAGATTAATTTTTAACTTTAACTTTGGTCACCAGCAAAACCAGCTAGCTGCTTGTTGAAAATGTGTTGCTGCATTTCTCCCACTCCTTGTTCCAGTCTTTCCCCTACTGAGTGAAGACTCTCTTTTCAGTGGCCCAGTTCTGTGCAGGTTTGCCTGCACAGCGTGGATTGACCACGCTGAGTGTTCACTTCCCCTTCACCATATTCTTATAGCAGTTCTTGTCTCTACCAGACATTTGGCCCTGAGTCCAAGATGCAGAATCACTGTATCTTTTTGTCAGTGCGATTCTATCTGCTCAGTATCTTGGAATTCAAGGACAGGGTCCTGTTTGTTTTCCCCCAACACCTATCACAGTGCATCATCCTTAAGCGTGAAAACATGTTTGTTGGTGACACACGAATCTCAAGTGACTGCAGCAGCTCATGACAGTGTCCTTGGAGCAGTGCCTCCTCATGCCTTACTGAAAAAAGGTTTGAGGTCTGCTAAGTTTAGAAAAGGTAGCATATATTAATCTTCTTTTGGAAATTCATACTTTGAGTATGGAATTCCTGTTCCCACCCCACTCATTTTTCTCCCTTAAAACATTCCATATAATCCTTTGGAAAATACTGGCTTTGGCCTTTATTATGACTCTAAATTCCAGTAACAGACCATGACTTATGATTTAACCAAGAATACTCAGGGGCAGGGCTCAAAACAATAATTGCGATGTGTACAGTAAGTAGAGACAGTTTAAAAAGTGTTATTTATGAGTAAGTAGGTGTGGCTCTTGGGTTTACTTGCCCAAGTATATTTAAAACAAGGAAATTGGATATGTCAGATAATTCCGCCAGATGACCGAAGCAAATTTTGTATTTTATGGTTAACAGTGTTTTTCGATGTTAGCAAATGAAATTAATGGCCCAAATTTTCTTTTATGAAACAGACTAACTACAGCTGTTGATCTACCTCCTGAGTTTATTCACCTTTATATATCAAATTGCATCTCTACTTGTGAACAAATTAAGGATAAATATATGCAGGTAATAGAAATTTCTGTAAATTTTATAATTGCCTGCCAGGAAAATGAACACACTAACATTTGTTCTTTTTCCCCTTTTTCAGAATCGGTTGGTGCGTCTTGTGTGTGTGTTTCTCCAATCCTTGATCCGTAACAAAATTATTAATGTACAGGATTTGTTTATAGAAGTGCAGGCATTCTGTATTGAATTCAGTAGGATACGAGAAGCTGCTGGTCTTTTCCGGTTGTTGAAGACATTGGATACTGGGGAAACACCTTCTGAGACCAAAATGTCAAAATAATACCTCATCAGAACCATCCCATCCATTCACTGTTCAGCTGTACTGTGATTTAGTTTTTACACCGTTAAAACCCTGAGTGGATTGCTTGGTCTAATGCATATAAACAGTACTTTATCTACTTAAAGCAAAGTTTTGCTTTCTTGGATGACTTTTTCCGTGAGATGAATTTTTGATAAGAACTGGGGAAAACGTGTCTTTTAGGTGTCTTGCTGATGACTATCCATAGGAGGAATGGCTATCCCAAAAAAATAGATGAGTTTTTTTTTTTTTAAGCACTAAAGAACAAAATGTGTTTTTCATTAATACAGGCTTCTGATGAAACAGGAATCCAGTTTTCGTAAAGTTCCAATGTTGATAATGAGAGTAAATTCTTAAACATTTGTGATACTGTCCTAGAGGTGAAAGCAGCTGAATGTTTCTGAACCATCAAGAGGCAAACAGGAGTTTGGTTCTTGAACCTGCTTATGCACAAAGCTCTTAACTCCTCATGAACCAAGGATTTACTTGTAACTTTCTCCTTGTCGTGGAGGCTTAATAGACAACAGAATAAATGCATTTCTTGGGCCTCTTATAAACTTGGGAACGCTTAGAAAGCTGCTTCTATTACCAGGCTGTAATAGCTGGTATAGTTTTTTGGTTTTTTTCCCTCTTAAGATGTTCTGTTATTAGTCTGAGACAGCTATTTTTTTGTTTTAAGGAAAAACGTCAGTCAGTGCTCTGGGAGGTAATTTCCTGTGGGGTCTGCACCCTCCTGTCTGGGTGGTGGATGTGGGTTTGAGAAGTAGGAGAGCAGGGTGGTACCATGTGGGCTCTTACCCTTTATGTGATTTTGGACAACAGTGCCTTCCATTAAAGTTCTTTTTATCAGCTGTTATCTGATATATTTTTTAAGAAATCATGAGAAATTCCTTTTACTGAGGTATTTTCAAAGTGTATTTACAAGGAAGATAATCTGTTCAACAGGAATTACTCTCTAACACTTTGAAAAAGTTAAAGGAAACCAAGCCAAGTGATTTTAAGGTAAGTAAAAGTTCCAATCTTAAAACTCTGGAGAAAGCAGTACCAAATATTTGTAACAAATTGTCTTAGTTTTTCACTATAAGAGAAATGTTTAAGAACGTTTGCTTAGAGGAAATAATGAACTAAGCCCATCTATCAGAGGAATGCCTTCAGACAATTAGAACAATGGCAACAAGTGATTTCTTTCTACACCTAAAAGTGAGCATCCCCGTTAGCACTGGGAAAAGAACAGCTTATTACTGAAGTACTTTTGGAGTGGCGGTTTCAACCACCCAGCCTTAGGTTCCAGGACCTACAGGACCTACAGATTCTCTGGCATAATAAAACATTAAACTCACAGCCAACACCACAATCACTCATGCCTGAGTGAAGCTGATGTAACAGACACTGAGTCCATGAGGCACATCACAGCCTTGTTGCCTTTAAAGCAGTAGACAATATTTTGCTATACCTGGGGGCCATTTTAAATAGTGAAATCGCCAACAAAAAGTGCAGAAATGCAAAGAACACGGTACCGAAAAGACTATGAAAGGACACCTGTTTGTAGTAGGAGAGGAAACAAGGCATGGCATCCCCTCCAGCCTCCGTCAGAAACGTGCATGTCAGGCAGCTTGGCTCATTCACTGCTCTGTGCATGTCTGAAAATGACTGCATGTGGAGATTTTGGGGTTACAAATAAATTTTAGTAGGGAGGTTCTCAAATAGGAACTTCTTAAGTGAGGATCAAAACCACAATATTGGTGTTTACTTGAAAGACTAAAATTTTAAATGGCTTACAAAGAATAGTGGTTATATTTATAGAACATTTTATAAAACAGTCATGATTTGTACTTGCAACACCAACAAAAGCTGCTTGAAAATAAAAGTTTACCTAAAGTAAAATTGGTGGCTAGGTTTGGTGGCTCACGCCTGTAATTCCAGCACTTTGGGAGGCTAAGGTGGGAGGATCACTGGAGTTCAAGACCAGACTGGATGACATAGCAAGACCTCGTTTATGTTGAAAAAATAAAAAATAAAATAACAAGGCGTGGCATGCACCTGTGGTCCCAGCTACTCTGGAAGCTGAGGTGGGAAGGTTTCTTGAGCCTGGGAGATTGAGGCTGCAGTAAGCATCAACGGCACCACTGCACTCAAAGAAAGACTCAATAACTGCAATAAACCTTGTAATCAAATGAGTTCAATTCAACTGTCACGTTAAGATGCCTTGAATTCTTTAGATTTTCTAGTTCCAATTTCTAGCTTTAATATCTTCACCTGTTAAAAAGAAGACAGCAATAAGTAACACTTTAGGGTAGAAAGCAGTTATGTCAAAAGAAAAATAGTTTGAGATCCTAAAATGTAACTATTAGAAATAATTAACTTTCTTTTAGAAAGCTTTAAAGAAATGGTACCGATTTTTATTCTTATAGTGTACATATACATTTACACCTAATTTTAAGTAGCACACTAAATGATCCACATTCCCTTGGAGAATGATGGTCACATGTCTCTCAAACAGTATTTTGAATGATATTCCTTAAACATTTTAAGGGTATCTGGAAAATTAATGTATAGGAAGAACTTTTTACACATTTGTTAAAATGTCAGCACCCTCTGTCTACTAAGATGTTTTACTGATTTCACTTTACATCTTGTCTTTTTTTTTTTGCAATCACTGTTGTTCTTACCAGGAAAATCCCCAAGACACTTCCAAGAGTACCTGTATAATCCTGGATCTGATACCTGCAGTCACCCACACAAAGTCCTGGTGTTCCAGGCTTCTCACTAGCCAATAATACAACCCTACAACTCAGCAAAGAAAAGCATGGGTTGGTTTTTTTTCCCTAATGTTTAAATGAATGTAGTGCAAATACTTTTTTCACAACTTTACTGTACAAAGAGGGCAAGTCTCCAGCTGCGTGGCTGATTATGACACAGTAGAAATTTCACTTTTATAACTAGTAATCCAAATGTTAGTATTTTTGAAAATATGGTGACAAGTATTTTAAAAAAAACTTTTAAAACTTAATTAGCTGGGAATGTCGTAGGTGGCTTTTCTAGTTGACTATTAAGTCACAGAAACACAACATATATTAACTACAAAACTAGTTTTGGTTTGAGTCAACATCCTGTGCTTTAGCAAATCACAAAGTAGGGTTTATACCAAGCCCACAGAAACTGCTTTTGACTAAAACATATAATTACCTCAAGTTCTACTTAGTAATACATATATACTGACTTATAATTTCAGCCTTCATTGAGCAAATAAACTTCAGCGTGCTCAAAAGAAGAGACTATTGCCAAACTAAGCGATCTTACTGGGGAATTTGGTTACACTGGGTATTTCATCCCCAGTATATGGGGACGATCACCTATTCCTAAAGGTCTATTTTTTTTTTTTTAATAGTTCAGTTCTCTTTGGGATGCCTTTCTTGACCACTCCCATGGCATGAAGCTTCCAGTCCTGCTACTGAGGTCAGACTAGTGGTTCGCTTCAGGAAATTTTGTCATCGTGTGCCCAGAGAGAGCAAACTGCTGATGGAGACACTGCAATTCGGCCTTTTCTTGTCATCATTCCTCAGTAGCTGGAGGGAGCAGTCTTTTGGGAAAGGCTGTGTGTTCAGGATCCCTAAAAAGATAGCACATGGGGAAATTACCTGCCAAGTGGTGTGTGTGTTTACACCTCTGTGGCCCTTTAGTTTTCCGCTGGGACACCCAGAACGCCAGTCCAGACACCGAGGAGCCGAGGAAACAGGACAGCAGACGGGGCTGTGGAGAGCGGCACAGTCACGGACAGTCTCCTTCACCATGCCACCCACGGTTCCCACAGTTAAATACCGGTCTTCATTACACGTGAACACATGGCTCTTACGACAACTGTTTGGAGGAAAGTGATTCATGTGGTAAATAATATAACTAAATGAAATCTGATTTATTATACATTCCCCCAATTCTCTGCATCTTAACTTAAAAGCTTTAGCAAAAACTCTCATATTTGTCCCTTCCTGGTTTTTTTTTTTCCCCCCTTTAACAGGATTTCACTCTTGCCCAGGCTGGAATACAGTGGTGTGATGACGGCTCACTGCAGCCTCAACCTCCTGGGCTCAAGTGATCCTCCCACCTCAGCTTCCCAAGTAGCTGGAACTACAGACGGGTGCCACCATGCCCAGCTGATTTTTAAAATTTTCAGTAGAGATGAGTTTTGCCTTGTTGCCCAGGCTAGTCTTGAATTCCTGGGCTCAAGAGATCCTCCCATCTTGGCCTCCCAAATTGTTGGTGTTAAAAGCGTGAACCACCACACTTGGCCTGTCACTTCTTTCTCATGTTAATTTTCATCTAAACTTCTATCAATGAAAACTTTCTCCATTCAAAGTACCGAATAGTTTTCTTCTCTTGCTAATTTCTTTTTTGCTACTAAAGATTTGTGTTTCTAGATATATGACCATAATTATTCCAACCTCTCCAATTTATAATTTAGTGTTCAAGCTTTTAAATTAAGGAACACTATGACAGCTGCTGATTAAGAAATCACATTTCTGTAATGATCAAAAACAATTTACCTTGGTCTGGCACGGTATTTTTTTTTTTTTTTTAAAGAAACACCAGTCAAATTTATTACAGTTATCCACAGTTAGCAATGATGATCTTCATGCAAATTGCTGCTCTTGCCATTCCTGGACCCAAAGTGCGCCATGACCTTCAGTATTCATGCCATCTTTCACCTTGCCAAAGACCACACGTTTGCCATCCAACCACTCAGCCTTGGCCGTCTTGGCAGTGCAGATAAACTGGGAAACGTTCATGCTGGGTTCAGCATTTGCCATGGACAAGATGCCAGGACCTGTATGCTTCAGGATGAAGTTCTTGTCATCAAATTTCTCCCTGCAGATGGACTTGCCACCAATGCTGTATGGCGTGTGAAGTCACCACTCTGACACACAAACCCTGGAATAATTCTGTGAAAGCAGGAACCCTTATAACCAAATCCCTTCTTTCCAGGGCTCAGAGCACGGAGGTTTTCTGCTGTCTTTGGAACTGCAAACAGCTCCAATCTGCTAACATAGTTTTATGGATCAGATGAACAGTCACTTCTTGGTTTCTAGGCCCCTTACCTCGAAGGAGACACAGCCCAAGGGCTTGCCATTGACGGCAATGTTGAAAAACGTGGGGTTGACCATGGCTGGAAGCAAGGGGCTCTGGGCGGCAGCATCTGCAAAGCTCACAGCCTTCTTTTCAAAAGTCAGCTTCGTTAGCTACTCGGAAGAATGACTAGTTAAAACATTTTCCCCTAGTATTTCTTTTCTTTTTTTTTGAGACGGAGCTTTGTTCTTGTTGCCCAGGCTGGAGTGCAGTGGTGTAATCTCAGCTCACTTCAACCTCTGCCTCCTGGGTTCAAGCGATTCTCCTGCCTCGGCCTCCTGAGTAGCTGGGACTACAGATGTGTGCCACCACGTTCAGCTAATTTTTTGTATTTTTAATGGAGACGGGGTTTCACCATGTTAGCCAGGATGGTCTCGATCTCCTGACCTCGTGATCCACCTGCCTCAGCCTCCCAATGTGCTGTTATAGGCATGAGCCACCGCACCCAGCCCTCCCCTAGTATTTCTTAAAAGACAAAGAGCAAACAATCTACTTGCTACAGAATCAGAATATATTTTCCTATACATATTAAGCTACAGAAGGTAGATTCAAAGGCAGTGGCTGTTATGGAAACCTACTTGAAGCTGTCTGCTAACACACACTCAGTGTGCAAAGCAAAACACATTTTCTGCTTCAATAACTCATGTTGCATCTATCTGTAGAGTTTATTTCAGTAAAACTGTTTACTTACCATTTCACGAATCAAAGTATTAAGTAGCTTGAGAAAATCATATTAATCTTTATACCCTACATATGGCTATAAAAATATTTATAATTTTAAAAATTGTTTTAAATAAACATTTTTTACCTACCAACTAAAGATATAGAGTAACTAGAAGCAACACAAGACTACAATTCCACACTCTAAAAAATAACTGCCTCATATTGCTGACTTCTACCTCCAGGAAGTGAGGACAGCAGAGTGTGCGTTTAATCACTTTCTAACACTTAGCGGTCTGCAGAAGCTTTGCATTAGCCTGCTCCTTTGACCCAAAAGAACAGCAAGCAAGTAAAAAAGAAGAAATGGTTACCAAGGTCATGGTATTAAATCTGCTTAAACTCTGGGCCGGGCGCGGTGGCTCAAGCCTGTAATCCCAGCACTTTGGGAGGCCGAGACGAACGGATCACAAGGTCAGGAGATCGAGACCATCCTGGCTAACA